GATGGGGTCGGTTGGGTCAGCTAAACACACCACGTGCAGTTGGTATAGTATCACAGTCGGATTCAAAGATCTAAAGTTTTCATATCAACACAGAAATCACCAACACAACAGCCACAACGAGCATAAAGGTAAAAAAAAAGTAGTTGTGGATCAACACGACATTGCAGTGTAACAGTAACTTGGGCTATACTGTACTACTTAAAGAACAAACCAGTTAATGCAAGCCAAAATCCTGTGCCAACAGTTACTGAAATCTAAGCTCACCAGAAATAAATGGACACTATTTAAATCCTGGATTCATTATTTCATTCATGCATTGATGTTTATAGGAATTATTCAGACAAACGCACTGGGAAATTCCCATGATTCACTTTCTGCATTTCTTTGGTAAACAGTGGAACAGTGCATGATGTACAACATGCCATTAGATGTCGGTTTACGTTGTTTGTGTTGCAGTCACTGGCCGTGCTGCTTTTAAGAACTGGCCCCATACAACAAGACAAGATGGGCAGAGGTCAAGCCTATTTCATCATCTCATCTTTTGTGTCAGCTGTGGCTGAACGTTTTGTGCAGCTGGTGCTGTGCTCCGCTGAGCCCTGAACCAGTGGTGACCTTGTCACTCATTTGCAGTACTTTTCTCCTCACTTTCCCCCTCATTTAGTTTCATTTTATTGCTTTTTCTATCCACTCATGCTCTGCCACCTCCACACTGTGCTCCACTTTTTCCATTCATCCAGCTCCTTTAGCACTTCCCTCCCTGGCAGACACTCACTGTTATTTTCTACATCTTTTTAATGGTCTCAACTTTTTTTTTGTTTCCCATTTTCTTTCTGTTTCTCTCTTTATTTCTGTGCCTGCATAATTTTGAGCAGGTGCTGAAGGTGAATGAAGTATTTTTCCGAGGCTCGCCGGGTGTCTCTCTTCACATGGGGTTTAATGTGGTGTTAATATGGGCATTGCTCATTCTTATTGAGTGGTTTTAATTGGAATAACAGGCCCTTTATATCTGCTGACCTTTACCCTGCCCAGTAGCTCAGCTTTGACAGGCAGACTAAATTAGAGAGTAGTGTTTTGTTTTTTTTTTATTCCTCGTTGCTGTGTACAGTGCATGTCCACCTTTTGTCAGGTTGAGGAGGAAAACAAGGAATGCAAAATAATCTGGGAAATTATAGATTTGCGGATCTTCCTTCTAATCTTGTTTCCTCCCAATTTTGTTCGTCTTCCTCCCCTGCTCTTCAGAGTCCATCCATCAGCGAAAGAAGTAAAGAAATAAAAACAGAATGAGCAGCCACTAATCAATCCGCCTCGCCTACAGGGACAGGATCGTTTTCACTGACTTTTTTGTGCAGATGGGGAAAAAAGAGAAACATTTTAATTTGTTCGCTGTGAATGTGCTAGTACCAGCAGGCACATAATCTCTAGGGGCTTACTGGGAAGAGGCGTGGAATTATTATGAATTTGGAGGGAACTGTGAATGATAATAAGCCGTAATGAGGAATGATGCATGTCAGTGTTTGTGCATATGTCTGGGTGTTTATTGATTTTCCGCTGCACTGCCATTCTTTGCCATAAAAAACATAGTCTTTTGCCTCTTCTCAAATCTTCTTGTCATGTTGTTGAAGGACCTGATCTGAGGGTGAGGCTAAACACAGTCGAAGGAGACGATAATCCTACCACACAATCCGACTATTATCGTCATTATTTAGAATGCAGCCTTTGCTAATTTAACCACATGCCCACACACTCACATACACATACAGAGTAAATCATGTTTTTATATACCTGATACTTAAGAGAAGGATTGCGAATTTGATTCTGAATGTGACCTGGCTGAGAGCCTCGTGCCTCGCTCGCTGACGGTGGTGACTCAGTCCTGTTCATTCAGCTAATAGCCCCTGAGTTTGCTGATGGCGGGCAGCAGTAGTAAACCATTTGCTGCCCACTAACCTGTAGGCTACACTGCATACCATACCATTATGTCAGCTAAATTAACAGGTACCGTCTGATCATTATCGAGTACGCGGACAGTAGACATTGCTGATGATAAGGGATAAAGAGTTTATCTAACAATAGAAATGAAAATGCATAAGGTACTAAAGCAACCTAAATCTGCAGTAGCAACACTTTCATCAGCATTAGCTGTTTTTCCCCTTTCTACAATATATTTTAATTTCATGCAATATGTTGTATGCCCATTTTTGTACTTAGTATTGTGTACTTCCTCTTTTCTACTAACAGGAGGTGATGCAGTACTTCATTAATGGAAATCCAAGTCACAGTGTGACTTTGAAATGCCACCACCAATTTAACATGATAAAAAGAACACAACATGTCTTAGCAATGTTTTAAACGGGTCAAAATGGACTCTCACAAGATTTGGAGGCTAACAAGAAACTCATTTAAAAAACATGATCAGAGTCAAAGCAGCAAAGGGAAGGATATCCTCACTAAAAGTCCTTAGTAAGCTGGCTGGATTCAACATTACCCATAATGCAACTCAGTCCAGCTCTCCACAGAGCCACAGATGAAGCTGTACACCTGTTTCCACAGGCTGAGTATAGTACTCATCTCAACAAGTAAACTGAACTTCATGTGTAAAATCGATGCAATACACTTTTTTCCTTCTCGAGCTCCTTCACCACCATCTGTAATCTGTTGTAACATTTACCAAATAGAATTTCTTTACCTCCTTCACTTCCTTTGAGCAGTGCATTGTGGGTCAGCAGTGTACATTAAACAGCCTTCACAAAAATCAAGCACTTTTTTTTACTGTGAATACTGGCCGTTGTTAATATACCTAAGTCAGTTTTGAAATTGGCATGTAGTATAGGGTAGGGACACTGCTATTGTCTTTGGTCACACACATAAACACTGAAGAAACCTAGACACTTTCATATTGGCATGAGGTTAGTGACATTAGCAAGTCTTTGTTCACCAGAGTGCTTCCTGATGACAGGTGCTGTTCATCAGGATACTGTGGCTCCTCTGTGATCAGCCGGCAGACTGTCTGAACATCACTCTCTAATCATCCCTTTTCCATTGTTGCCCAGGTTGACGTATTCACACAGTAGGTGGTAATTATATAGGTGTGCTAATGGTCTGATTGGAATGCAGGGAGGGCTTCTCGCTGTGTGTCGCCTGTCTGAGAATGACTCGAGGTTAAGGCAGTAGTATGATGCTCTGACGTTATGTGAGTGTCTCCTGAAGGTGTTCAGTTGATTATTCATCCTGTGAATCAGTTGTTTTTATTTTTATTTTACAGCAATAAAAACCCTGAACATTACCAGATTTAGTATTTTCTCCTGCATCTTTGTCATTTTGATGCTGCCCTGCCGAGTTCCTCCGTCAGCTCTATCAGGTCCTTTTTCCCTCCTCTTCTCCTTCTTGATCTTCTTTGTTGCAGTGAAATCTAAAGAAAAGACTTTTTTTTTGTTTCTAAACTTGCAACACCCTGCCATTTCTGCACCATATCTGATTAGTTCATATTCTCTGGCTTTTAATGCCATCCAACCGTTACCATGGAAACGATAAGGTGCTTGGGGGAGTGTGATTGCAGATGTTAGAAGATGTAAACACAGACCGAGACAAAGACAAGAACTGGAAAACTAATAAAATGCTACATCCACTGAATCATTCCATGAAAATTATTACAAAGCACATGTTAGTGCATTGGACATTTGAAACAACCTATAATTTAGCAAAGAATATGACTTGGCAGCTTGTCACATCTGTGCTCTTAGTGAATCTTCTAGAGGTTTTGTGTGTTAACATGTTGGGTTCTGGTGGTAGTTTCATGTTGCTTTGCATTCAGGAAATATTTTTGTCCCATCTTGTCCCAACTTCTCAGGCAAATATAACTGTCACTCTGATATGAAGACCTAGACTTATTTATTACCCTTTAACTAGTCATGACATCAGGCCTCACTAGACTTACGATGCAGATGGTAAATGTCAGTATTAATTTGTTCTGTCCTGCTGCCAGGTTGAGATGAATGATTGACATCTTGGAGACTTCTATGACAAAGTTGCGATGCCACTGTTTTATTGTTTGTCTCTGTCTCTCTCTGTCAGGGATTTTTAAGTCGCCGGCTGAAGGGCTCGATAAAACGCACCAAGAGTCAACCCAAACTTGACCGCAACTCCAGTTTCAGACACATCCTTCCTGGCTTCAGGAGTGTTGACAATGACAGGTAGGCGTTTGTTTGCTGTGATGATGCCGGTGTGTGTTTGTGTCAGCTGGGTTTGCCTCTCTTTACCTGGTGGTTGGTTATTCAGGTCACTGTTGACATTTTTGTGTTGTGTTGTCAGCATATTGTGAAAACTAGTGAATCCTGGCTTTCCAGTGTGTCACTTTTAATGTCTCTCTCTTTCTCATTGTGATACATTATGAATCTCCTCTGTTCTATCATGGGATGGCGTCTTTAGTTTATGATAGAGCTGATGAATTCAGTTCTCTGTAGACCTGAACTACTTCTTTATTGGATTTTTCTCACCAATAAGGCTGTGCACGAGAAGCAATATAAACCGCAGTGGCAACAAAAATATCCCTGATAATAAAATTACAAACTTAACTAGGCTATACATAATATACTGCTTGATAAGTGAGTTATTAACACCCAATCACATCACAAACACAGAACTGTTTCTAACCAGTTATATGGCAGTGTTTTAGCAACATACTGACATCGTAAACATGTCGCACAACTCTTACTCCAGAACATCAAACTTTAATCACCATTAGCCATCAGGGCTTCGTCAGAGTCGTATCTTGTTTCTGGCTTCCTTCTATACGGTCGTGTGATCAGTTTGTCACCATTGATATGATACATGTGGATTGTTCTTTTCAGTAACGTATTTTATTTCCAACATTTACAAAAAAATATTCAGTTAACATCAATAGAGAACATACCAATCCATAATATAATTAAACCTTACCATCCTCTTTCAGAAGAATGTCTCCTCTAAAATGTCCTTTCATTATGAAACGTAAAACAAACTTACAAAAAATAAGTTTTTGATGTTAGTATTAGACTCTGAAGTCCACACCGGTCTGCACCTTGTGTCCCAAAACGAGAGAAAATATAGTGTTTTAGAAACAGACAGCCCGCTTTAAAAAATAGATGGGCTCGGTTGGGTCAGCTAAACACACCACGTGCAGTTGGTATAGTATCACAGTCGGATTCAAAGATCTAAAGTTTTCATATCAACACAGAAATCACCTATGTAAACCTGCGTTATACAGGATTTATTCTGACTAGATTGATTTTTGTTTCGGCAATTACAGTAAATGGATTTTCTGGTTGCAGCTTACACAGTTCTTGGTCATTTTTCAGGTTTTGAATGTAGTACTAGGTCATTTTAAGGTTACTGAAATCTAAGCTCACCAGAAATAGTTTACATTGTGAAATATCTCCCAGCCCTAAGCAGGCTGCCTCATGTAAACATCTGTCCATCCTTGTCATCTCCAGCCTTACAGTCCAAACTGTACAGATCTACACTGCTGCCCACAGCACTGCCCATATGATGACGTTTCACTTTAGACTGTGATCATTTCCACATTTTGATAACTTCTCATTTCCTCAGGAGCCACTTGGCAAGCGTCTGCCATCACCAAAGGTCATCACTTTGATTTTCTGTCTAGTCTATGTTGGCTCATAATTGCGCCACCTGGAATTTTGATAGACTTTTGGTACTGTACATGCACAGGCCACAGCTCTCGTTCCCGGCACCAGGGTGTCCGTCTGTGGGGTTTAATTAATGGAGGTGCTGCTTTTGGAGAGATGTTCGTTCTACTGCTTGCTTTTTCAGAACTTGGTTCCAAGTTGCTACCCCTCTTTATACTTTTAATGAGGCATTAACATCACTGTCAAACTATCACAAGGGAACATTACCAATTGTTCAGCGTGTACATGCTGAACTGTTCCTCTAGTGCAGTCAGACAGAATGAGCTCATACCTCCTCTTCTTTGTCCCGCTGTCTTTTCTCATTCTCTTTCCCACTTCTGCTTTTACTTTTTAAGATGTCTGTCTTTCTAACTCACTCCGTTTAGCCCTTTCAAACCACCAGTCCTTTCTCTATTTTTCAGACACTAGTAAGGTTTCCTAACCTATCAGCATTTATTCGTTTCCCTCTGACAGAGCTCTCAGCAAAGAATATCAGACAGGAAATTGAAACGTCCAGGAGGTGTCTTATCTCACCTTCACTTGCAAATGCATACCCTGGCTCCTACTGTATATAATGATAGGTCTATACACACTTATCCTTATGTCAGTCTGGTGTTTTCACTCTTCATAAGATCACTGGCTTTATTTTGTTGTTTGATTTAAAAGTGGGAGAAAGTATGAAAAAGATGCAGAACGAGAGAGTAATGGTGTGAGCAGAGTCGGTGTCACTCGTTGTCGGCCACAGGATGAAAAACACTGCAGAAGAAGAGAGATGAGGAGACAGAGATAGAGGGAGGGAATCCTATACCCTGAAAACTCCCTGGTGTGCAGATATACAGCCTTGAAACTGAGCGAGCAGGGCACATTTCAGTGTCCATCTCAAATACTAACTGTATCTAATTGTACATGATATGGTATGAAACTTATAACTATGTGAGGACGTATTCTCATCCGATGTTTCACAGCCATGCACTTTTATCATGCAGCAGCCAGAGGCTTTATGTTTTCAGGGTGTCCATCCGTCCGTCCCATTCTCATGAATGTGATATCTCAGAAATGCCTTGAAGGAGATTTCTTCAGCTTGTATACACTTAATATCCTTTATTAAAGTCTTAAAGTCTTCATTACAGATACAAGTCAGGACAGACATGCCTGTAAACTGCAACTTGACTCTTTGGCAGAGACATACAACCACAAGGCGGTAATTATTCTAGTTCTGATTATTTAGGTAGAGTAGAGATGGTGCCTTGCAAGGACACACACAGTGTGTGTGTGAGCTCTGATGACATTGTTGGGCCATGTAGCCTCAGGCAGTCTCAGGAGATGAGGAGCAGCTGGACTTCTAAAATGAAATATTTGTCTGTGTTAATCAGAGGCTGGATACTCATTGAACACTCCTGTCTTTAGCACTGAAATAGAAATGTAGTGATGGCTGTAGCTTGAATTTATCAACATTGGACAAATGCGGGTTATAATCAAGTTTCTCCATGCAGTGGCCTGTTATTCTCTTCTGCGCTGACCTGGTGATGCCCTTAATGCGTCTTGTTGCTCTCTGCTGCTCTGATGTGCTCTACACATTTTACTTGTATCAGAGATGATCTGAACCTTTGTGGCCTCTGCTCGCTCATCTGATCTACGCTGACCTTGCCTGAACATGCCGGTGAATATCATAGTGATTGCAATGTGTGGGCTTCTGATTCCTTATCAGTGACAGAGGCCCTTGGTTGGAGTGCAGTAATCGAACATGTTTTTTCAATTAGCACTGTTTTTGATAATGAATATTCTATTTTAGAAGTTGAAATGAATTCAGTTGTAAGACAGTAGTACTTGCCTTTGCCTTTTTACATTTAGATTTAGAAAGAGGGTGGTATTTGGCTCTTAAGGGACTTTGTGGGGGTTTTATTTTTAAACTAGTAGAACCAAGGAGCAATGTTTTTATGAGTGGGTCCAGGTTTGGTTTTGTCCGTAGAAAAGCAGGCAGCATAATGCACATTGCATGTTACCACAACATCAGCAAGCAAAGATATGAAGCAAAGTGCTAATGAAAGCAAAGAAGAATCTAATAAAGATGAACTCAAACAATGCAGGATTTAAAAGTAGCTTTACAAAAATACTGTCCAGGTCAGTGTTTCCTTGAGTTATGTCACTGTCTCCTCGTTGTATTGTGCTTTCCTCACATTGCATCCGATGTTGCTGGTCGCTGTATTTAAGGGTCATTTTATGTATTGTTTGACTCCTTATTTACACAAGTAAGAAGTGCTGCATGCCTGGATGCAGACCCACATTTTATGCACTGTAGTGTCTACAGCATCACTCAAATCATTTATGGCATCCCTGTTGTCGACAGTACCAACCCCCCTGTCTTCCTGTGTGTCCAGCTCCTCGCTGTGTAATGGGAATGCTTTCCTGGTTTGATTTTGTGGCCGCAGTAATGGTTGGATATAACTATCTGAATGTGATGATGAGCTTGTGGTTCTGTGTTTGTACGCTTGCATGTGTGTAACTGCAGTTCTCAGCTCTGTGGGCACCAGTGACTCATGCGCTTTTATGGAAAGGCTGCTCCTGTAACACAGCAGGAAGGCCTTTTTTGGTGTCACTCATAAACTTCAGCTCTGAATCTTGGCAGATGGATAAAACAGCTGAACCGATTTATTACACCAGTATTTCTCGTCCTGTTTCTGTGCCCTCTCCCACTTGTCTCAGATAATCTGCTCACCATATGTTTTAAATATGTTTGCATTGCATAGAAAGTTGTATTCTGTGTCTTACAGATGCATGCTGGGAGAGGCTCCTGAAGAGTATAGGAAATGGATGAATGCAGTACAGTACAGATTTGACTCATTAACATGCACAGTAATGTTTAGGTTTTGCCATTCATTCATGAACACAGTTTTTGAGTTCTCCCTATATGATGGTCTAAATGTTTTTTCCAACATGTTTATTAAAAATTACATTAAGATACAAATGTCATGTGCAGTCTGAGTCTCCTCAGGACGTTAAATCCTCTGTACGTTTCCAGAACTAATTCTGAGGACATGACATCTGTGTTTGTAATGGCAGCAACAGCACTGGAGCCAGTCCTCTTTTATATACAAAGAGCAGGGTCAAAATGTTCAAAAGTTGAGATATGATGCTCTCTAGGTAGCAAGATGGACACACAAGTATAATGTTACACTTGTGTGTGTTATAAGAAGCCTTACCTCTGCATGTAACAGGATTCAATAACCCCAGATACAAACCCCCTGTCATCTTTCCATAAAACTGCACCAACGGGTACTGTGGTGATTGTTGCAGGTGGGAGTATTACTGTGTATGTGAGAAAGATGGAACGAGTGCAGCATAGTGAGGGAGACAGAGACATTCATCCATAAATCCAATAAAGTGATGACATTTAGGGTTATTAAATTCTGTAAACATTCCCCAGGTGGTCCAACAGTAATATCTAACTTTTTCTGTTACTCCCTCCCTTCTTTCCTCCCCCTCCCACATCTCACTCACTTACTGACTTTCACTTGCACACATTTACC